CGCTGAACGTGGAATAGAGCGGCGTCTCATACGGCTTCTTCGGAACAACCGACTACGACGGAAACATGGACCACTGCCTCCGAATTCACCACGCGTACGCCCCGCAGATGAGCCGCGACAACTCCTGGATCCCCGAAGGCCGCGAACAGGAGTTTCACTTCCAGTCCTGTTCTGGCACCCGCTGGCGACAGATTGACGCTGAGCCGCATCTGGGCCATATCCAACTCAACGACGTCCCTGACAACGTCGACATGATCGTGTTACAGGCTGGCGGCAACAACGCGAACTTCGCACGAGTCGCATACGCATGTATCTTCGCGCCACAAGGAGCAGATTATGGTCCCGAGTACCCCGATCAGAACGGTCAATGTTTTAAAGAACTCGAAGCGACGAAGCAGTACATTCTCGGTACAGGCCGCGACCAGCTTTTCCAAGACGCGCGATGGATCGTCAATCAAGTCTTCGATCACCCCAAGGTGAAGAAGAATCCCAAGTTCCGGCTCTTTGTAGTTGGCTACTTCCAGTTCTTCTTCGATGAGGGTGGCGAGGGCGATTGGTGTAGTAATGTGAGCTTTGGTCTGCGGTCTAGTGATCGCCCGAGGCTTAGTCTTGCTTTGAGGAAGCGTATTAATGCGCTTATTCGCTATCTGAACAAGGCTATCGAAGACGGGGTCAAAGGTAGCTTCCACCCTGAGCGGGCAACTTTTGTGGATACCGACCAGCATCTTGAAGGTCACCGCTTCTGCCAACCTGGTCACACGCTGTATGACCAATACTTTGGCGACAATGTATATCTTTGGAACATGTCTCCAAGCGGTATCTTCAGTTGGCAGGGCGAAATGGTGGGGGGTATAGACGATGGCGATGGTAACATAGAGGAAGGACGCCAGCCGACGCAAGCCGAGTTCGAGCATTGGCTTGAGACCGGTAGATTTACCGACGATCCTCGCGAGATCGAGTTCAACTTGACTGCTGCACTCCAGTCGGGCAACGATGTAGCCGTTGCAGATGATCCGGATAACCTGCAGTGGCTCGATGTGATCGGCCCGTATCAGCAGAACTACCCCGGCTTAACTCTTCGACCTTTCCACCCCACCGAGAGCGGCTACCGTGAGATGGCCAAGGCGATCATGGCGAAAGTGAAAGAGAAGCTTGACATCGATTACCCACCTAAACCTGCTCCCGCTCCCGCTCCATCAAAACCGAAGGCTACTCATTCGATCCAGATCTTGCTGGCCAGCTACGGCGCTAGCAAGTGGTGGCAGATCTACCAGGGCCCGCTAGGTGTACCAGTCAAACTTTGTGTCGACGATGGCCGCTTCAAGGATGCTGTCATTAACGAAGAAAAATTTGAGAAGGACATGTATCAGAACGACGCCAATATCCACGATCCACCTTACGTGACGGCGGGCAAGAAGTGGCCTCTTAAGATCGATGGCGAGAAAGACTGTTCTTTCGAATCCAGCGCTAACAGTCCTGGGTTTCTCAAGTGCGGAGGTGGTCTAGAACTGAACTTCGCGGCCGATCCTCAAAAGGGTGATAAGACTGTTACTTGCGGATCGGTGCAGGGCCGGTTGGATAATGTAAGGTTGCATCGCGCGTGGTATGTCGAGTACTGAGCTATGCACTCAGCTGACGGGCGACTTGGTGTTGTTGTGCTATATTCGCTGGAAGGCCTCGAGAAGGGAGAGTTAGAGCAGGCGCGTTACAGGCTACATTAGTACACAGAATAATACTCGGCGACATGCTGGGGCAACATGAGGTAGATGTCTGGATTGTCTACTTTCATTTATCTCTTCCCTTGTACGCGGTAAGCAATTGGTGCAGATTTAGGTAGACACTGAGTAGATATAAAACTTGTTGACCAAATCTCCCTTGATCGCGAGTCTGTGATGAATGTAATTGAGGAAGCCGCATGGGGATCTCACTCATCGCCAACTGCGCGACGGACGAGGCTAATAACACGACGTGTCGCATATAACCTGAGAATGATAAATCCTGAGCTGCTACTGATACCGGGCTAGTCATAGTGCGATGTCGCCGAAAGCGGGTGTGCTGACGCTGAGGACGCGATGAGTGGGATGCAGAAGACGCGACGCGTCGAGCGGCGTGTGTGGAACATGATTAGTCAGCGGTGCCGGTGTTCGCGTAGCTATCTTCCCGCCCCCCCGCCCCAAGCGGTGCCCCCGACATCGCCTTCAGCCGGCCTGGCTCAGCATGATTTCGCGTAGTTACCTAGGTATACACATAGACCTCACTTCATGTCATCTCTTGCCATACATGAACTGCTACGGACCCCCGGAAAGGTTTCCTTCCTACTATCGCACGGCCGTGTCGCTGCCTCGGCCGAACTAGCTAGCAGGAGCGCTTGCATCTCACGTTGAGAAGAGACGACATCTCTCCGAGTGACTGGAGAACATGGTGTAGACTTGCATCTATCGTGTGCGCAAATCACTACTACTGCTGCGTCTTTTCAAGCCCGGTATCCCCTCTGTACCTGAGTATGCACGCACGTAGCACACTAGCCTTTCACAGCTACATGCATTCGAGCTATCACAACGCATATCACCTTAGACATTCGGCACACACCGTTCATTCTGCGCATTATTTTTGGAACCTCACGACTCATCTGAAACCAAATGCGCGTATCTCCGGGCACACGCGTGTGATGACGGCCAGCAGATCAATGTAAGACATTCTCCTCTATCCTAGCAACGGCACTCGCCCTACGTTCTCGCGTGTCTGTTTACTGTACATACCCGCTATAAATAGTTCCACTCGTTCTCCGTGAGATCCAGTTGCTTCGACACATAGTCCTATCCATTCATCACATCGCCATCATCATCATTGACCTAGGGTCACCACATCCGCTCTTCTCAGCACACCGTATCTTTCCGTTTGCCATGGAAGACTACTCCGATGCTACTCTCGGCCCTGGCTTTACCTTTCGCGCCATGAACGTTAGACTTCCGTCAGTAAGGAAGCTTTCCATCGTCCTGCTCGCCACATTCGCACTGTTCGCCCTTCTCGCCGCTACCTCCTCCTTCGCAACGACAACCGCGTTCGCGACCTTCGCTATCAAACTAGCAACCTTCGCCCTCAAGTTCGTGCCCTCCTCTGGCAAACTCCCTATCCAGATCTCGAACATCACGTTCACCTACGTGGCCAGCGCTGCAGACGGCGGAAACATCGCGATAGACTTGCAGACTTGGTCCCACAAAATAATCCTCGGAGTGGCACGGTGGATAAACCATATGTTAATTGGCGCGTCACTGGTCTTGGTGCTGCGCCTAATCAACTCTACCATACTACGCGGAGAGGCTGAGAAGATGAAGGCGCTTAACCGGGCCGCAGACCCTGCGCCTATCGATGCCTCAGGGTATGGGGCCGATGGAACGCATGTGGATAAGAGAATTTGTAAAACGGTTTCGACACACGAGACGCCGTATTCGACTACAGTTCACACGACTGTAAGCACAGCGGAAACGACGGAGAGAATGCAGAGACCGGAGGCGAGAAGAGCGCTAGATTATCATCACTGTCCTTCTCATCCTCCTTATCCTTCTAATCGTTGGATGGATTATTAACATAGATCTGCACCGCATGGGTACGTTTTGGCTATACGAGATGCACGAGAGACACATACTAACTTCGAATTATCACCTTTGTAGTACGAATGGATATCGGGTTAACGACGGCCATGAAACAATACACGTCGAGACTGGTTGTCATCGACTCCATTAACTGCTACTGCGATGATGCAGAGCGGTTAGCTACTTGGGACCACCGCAATGCATAACCAATCTATGAGCATAGGCAGTTCTCTGATAACAGACATCGCATTCATCGGAGATGCGAAGGCTTGAGACATAGAATAGGGTTGAAGATTGAAAGGCATTTACAGGGATAGAAAGAGACAATTTGTATCTAAGATCGTTAGGTAGCAGGGCAGGGGGATAACTCAGCTAGTTTACGTCCTCGCATCCGATGTTCGCGCAGCGCAATAAATAAACGCAACCACTAGATCTTTCCCCGCACAAGTAACAAGCAACATTGCCAACCATCCTCCTGCAGCAAACATCAGTCCACGCTACATATTATCTTCCGCACCACTCTTCATTCCCAACAACCCGAAACCACCGGCTCACCACCCATCCCGCATCATTCCATCTCCAACCTATCCACAAACCCCAAACCCATCGCCCAACCCAACCCAAACCCCCCACCATCCAAATCATGCCCGACCAAAACATTCCCAACGACACACCCGCTGCCCGCCACGCTGCTGAAAAAAGGTCCTGGATCATCAAAATTTACTGTATTATTGCATTTTTCGACTTGGGAATTTTTGGCCTATTCCCGAATTGGTGGGCAGCGAATAGTCTAGCGGTGGTGACCGCGTTGTTGTATCTGGGGGTCCGTTATTTGGCGAAGATCCATGCGGCAGCCCAGGGAGATGATGGAGATGATGCTGTTGAGCTAAGAGAGGGTGTGGGACAGGGTATGGTAGCTGAATGGATGGCGGGAGATGGTGAGGCGCATATCAACGACGCAGAGAGATTTGAAGATGCGGAAGAAAATAACAACGACAGTGATAGGGAGGGTGAACATGAAGAGCACGGCGAGGAGCCAGAAGAAGGGAACGTCGAGGAGGGAGCCGCTTCCGAAATCCGTTCTACGCAGATCAACATCCACATACACCGGGGTGGGAGCATGTACATCAACATGATGCAGGGCGGAAAGTTGACTGTTAATGTGTTCGGGGAGGTGGAACGTGTGGAGTAAGTGTGGGAGTAGTCGGACGGGGGCTGCACAAATCAGGGGAAGAAGAGCATGAAGGGGCGGGATGATAGAGGGGAATGCGATAGGTCCTGTGAACGCAGGACCTGCTCTTACGAGTGTCCGCTCTTTGTTCGATAGTAAGAATTACATAGGCGGTGTATAAGTACAAACATGTTGTTCGACGTATGAGCGTTTCTACCACCGTCGTGCTATCAAGCTTACTCCTGTGAGCCAGGCGGGTTCACATACTTGACCCCTTTGGACATCTTGCCGAGAAAACGGGGTTGTACGTCCTTGTCCAGTGACTTCTTGGCCTTCTTAGCGACAGCAGTCACCTCCGTAGGCACAATACTGAAATCCACCGCCGGACCCAATCCAGTATGCTTAACAGTCTCGTTACCCGTATACGTGTACCTCACTTCACCCCTACAACATGTCAGCTCTCGCCATTCTCAAACCCCCTTCCCTCCTCCCATATGATATACTCACTGCGTAAACGTGTACTGCACACTAACAGTCGCACCAACATCACTCCCGCGATTGAACTCTTGCGTCTGCACATCGCCCGGTCTATCGATACCAACCACATCGCAAGATTTGTAGCCGCCCTGGAGACTGGTGCCAGAGCAGAACTCTGCATCGAAGGCTGGCTGGCCGGAGGGGCCGGCGGGTGCGGAGATGTTGAAGGAGTAGCGGCAGGCGGATGCGCTGCAGACGCTGCTGAAGTCGGTGACGTCCCAGGTCCAGTCTGCGCTACGGGGGAGGGCCGTTGCGGATGCGCCGGTGGCGAGAAGAGCGAGGGCGGTGATCTTGGAGAGCATGATGAGTGACAGTATGATTGAACGGGATGAGTGTATGCGAAGTTTGTTGGTCTTGTTGGTGTTGGTTTCCTCTCCTACCAGGCGACGAGGGGGCTTTATAGGCCTACTCATCGTATATGAGGCGATCGTGGCAACATAAATCGTATGTCGCTTTCATGATGGTGCAGCCGATGTGACGTCGCATAGCCACGGTGCTTCGAGATATCTGAGGCAACCGATGCATGTCGACATTGCTTTCAGTGCTTCGCGACGCCACTCGTATGCGCAAGGCTCCGCTGCAAGGGCACATAGACCATCGCTGGACGACGGCTACGGCGTTACGGCACTACTCTAACAATTACCTTTTCTGGAGGGTTGATGATCGTTCCACAGTGCTTACTGATGGTGACAAGCGTGGCAGCGGGTGCCAAGAAAGGGAACATGCAAGAATAGATCAACTGCAGGACCCCAGTGACGCGTTCGTGGTTCGTATTCAATCCCGATGAGAGTGAATCATCATAGCTGATGGTGATGAGGTCGTCCTCGTATCCAGTATTGGCACCTCGCACAACCCGTCACGTAGGCACGGTCAATGTCTCGCCCGTGGTAACTCTCTTCTTGCTCACTGGCGAGCCTGTATAAACATGGCTATCGGTAACAGATCTCATCATGCCAGGACGTCGTTGTGTACTAGGCAAGTCGAACGGACTGGCATGGCCATGTGTGGATCCAGGAATCACGAATCTGGGTCTACTACCGGGTGTGGCGACTGGGTCCGCAGGTATCTCGGGGGGCGGAGGTTCGGCCAGCGGGTCGGAGAGAAAGAGCGCCAGGAGCTTCTCGACGATGTCGCGCATTCGGTCGGGCGTGGCGTGTAGCGGTTTCTCGGACATGTGCTTTCTCTATAACATTGTCAGCGAAGGTCTCGGATGTCGGATCATGCGTCTTACCAGTGCCAGTTGTGCACCCTTAAAGGTTTGGTGGTATATCAACTTGTACTCGTCGTCCTTCGCCGCCTCTTCTGCAGCTGCTTCTTCACTGCGCTGCTGACTCTCCTCGGCACCAGCCACGGAGGCGCGGCGGGACCTGTTCTGTTTCCGCTGCTGCAAGCCGTGCATGCGCATCGCTGCCATGACCACCTTGACTAGTGCGTCTTTGTTTCGCGACTCGGTTGTCGGCTCTTCGGGCTGTATGGGTACCGTAGCGACCTGGGACAGGTTCGATCGCCTGGCATGCGCGTCGGGTTGACCCTTTCGGCTGAGGGGTCGTGAGTCGGAGGTTATGCTCGGTGATCGCGAGAGTGGGCGCGAGGATGAGCGGGCTAGATGGTCCGAAGCAGACGTTGGTCTGGAGTCGGAGAAAGACGAGGCTTTCAGATCGATAGAGAGCGACGACTTTCGGTGGCTGTATGCCTGCTGAGACTCGCTTGCGCGGGCTGCTGCTGCCGACACTGCTCTCCCACCTCTTCCTCGCGCCTTCTTGTTTGCGATGGTAGCCTCTTCAAATATGTCTCTCGTTCGCTTTGGTGATGTTGGGGGGTTGTGGAAATCGTGTTGCGGTGGAAGGAACTGAGGCTCGGCGTCCATGGGCAGATCGATGCTGGTGACATTTAGAAGATCAGACGAAAGTGGCAGTGCGTGAACTCGAAGCTCAGGAAGTATCTCGGCGTGCGCATTGTCGATGTACGGAGACGATGACGGTGGTGTGAGTAGCCCAGCTGTGGTAGGAGCCGCGATGGTGCCATAGAAAAGGACCTCGGTCACTCTGGGCTTTCGCCCTTCTTCCTCAACTCTTTGGACTTGTACAAGAAAGCCAATTGGCGACTGTGATCGCGCCAGGTCCCACCATTCTCTTGTCGCATTGCTGGACGCGTCCGCCAACGTGGGCTTACTCAGCAGGACTGCCTCAAACCAAGCCTGAGTAGCTTCTTCCGTCGTCCATACGTCTAGACTGGGGCCGGCGGCAAGGTATAGTGGTATCTTGGCGGTATCGACCGTGGTGAGGAAGCGCAGGGCCGTCGCGGGGAGGGCTGGTGAAGACGCGACATTTTGCGACGCGAGGCCAACGTCTGTGGGGGATCAACGACTGTACATCTTCGATGAATGATGATACGTACCTCTAATGACATTGCCGTCGGGTAGCAGAATATCTCCGCTCCAGATATCCGTCATTGCGGATGTTCATGTAAGTGTTCGGGTCAGATAACGCGGGATGCAAGTCGCTATGACGCGCCATTCGCGCTAACAGCACGCGACGGCACGTGCAAGATGCCGAACCCCACCTTCATCATGACGACCCTTCTCCATCCAGGTCGCATTCATTGTATTTTCACAAGAGTCATAGAATGCTCAGATATCTCTACATGTCACGTCGACAGCATCCCATATCCCGACGGCGTCCCATGTTTCACAACCATACGGCGATATGCCACCATCCCTTTCGCCCATCAACGCCTGCGCAAGCAACTGCAGCCACAACTACGAGCATCGCTTTACTACCCAACCTTTCTCTCTGCCCGCTTCATCTCCTCAAGCGTTTCGTTGGCCTTCATCGCGTCACCTTTGCGCTACACCAACATCCATCTCCACACACTCCACACTCCACTCCCACTACTCTCCCTTCTCCACCTTTCCTTCCTGCCCAACCGCACAAACGTCTTCCTTTATCTGTTCCTTCATACCACTTACTATCTTATCTATCCACTGCACGCTTTCCCCGTCCACGTTGTCACGCACATTGCACTCCTTCTCGATCCGTCTTAGCACATCCCTCTCTCTTAGACATTCACCTAGATTAGCTTTTAGAGCAGCCATGTGGTGACTGTGCCTGTGCGCTTGGACTACCCCTCCCTGCAGGGTCATGTTAAGGGCGTGGTTGCATGTGTGGAGGTCGTGGCGGCATGTCTGAAGTTCAAAGCTGTGTGCTTGAATGGCTTGGTCGTTCCAATAGATCTCGATGGCGGTAAGTGCGGCGATGATGGGGAGCCATAGTAAGAGGAGCCGATTGAGTTCGATGTGGTGAGGGATGAAGATGATGATCAAGAGAACTAGGGTGATGGACGCGGCTATTTCGAACCGCAGTGTTGACGCGGCGATTTCGAGCCACCGTGACATAATGAGGTGGTATGTGTTGTGTGATGGGGTTTATGTCTTCTTTTTCTTCTGTTGATGTAAATATACCTGTGCATTTGAGCTTGCTACACACTCTCGCTAAACCACAGAGATCAATGAATGCAACGAGCCACTCCAGCGTTCCAGAAGCATTTCATTGTTACTAGGACCTTCTTTCCATTCGAACCCAGGCTAAATCGAAAGTCCACTACCCTTCATCTCATCCTCATCGCTTCGCTTCAACACCTCTCTTCTACTCCACTTCATCCACCTTATCAAAGCAAATCGGCTCAAACAACTCAAGCACAGCCATCTCATCACGATCGCCCCAGACTCATCAACACCACACACCACATACTCCATCCATCCATGTTACTATACGCCATAATCATCAAATCCATCATCTTAGCAAGCTACTGCTACGCCCTCTTCAGTAAACACGCTTCGAAAGCAATGAGAGTCATACTTGGTCTCGCATGTACGCTCACCAGCTGCGACGACTTCAGACACATTATAAACGACCCGGCCTATCAAGCATGCAAACATGCTCTTGAGTTAAAGCACCAGGCACTCCAAGAGTACGAACATAGTTACAGTGTCGTTGTGCAACGGAATGATGAACTGGAGAGGTTGCTCCGAGAGGGGGTGGTTGAGAAGTGGTGGGCATTCTTTGAAGAGCATGGGGATGAGGATGACCGGATAGTGAAGGTGATGGATTGTTTGCCGGAAGGTATGAGGGGAGGGATTTGGGATGTTAGGAGGCGGAAGAGGGAGGAGAGGGAAGGGGGAGGAGAGGGTGAGATGTAATGAGCAGGAACTCAACCCAGCGATCCGAACTTAATAGTCGTTTCTTCGTTCTTCAATCTGCTTCTTCTGATCACTTCTGAGTCACTAGTTGCTTCTCTCCTTTCGAAAGTAGCCCTAGTGTTTCTTTGCTAAAGATTACGAAGCACGAAACGATGACAATCTTAGAAAGAACGAGCATCAACTTGATGGAGCACAGATAATCAATGCCCTTTATACAACTAGTCAGGTCGGAAAAGGCAGCTAGGATCGCCTTTACAATTGCCCAGCTTGCCCGCCCGGGCCCCTATCGCCCTATCCGCACACCTCCCCGTCGATCAATCCGCTCTCTACTTCTTCTCATCTTTCTCTACCTCATCACCCTTCCTATCCTTCCCATCCTCCTTCCCACTCTCCTCCCCACCCGTTAAAGCCACTTCCCTCATCTCCCCAAACATAGCATCTACCTTCATTCCAATGTCCCACAGAACATCCTGCCCATGCTCCTCGCAATGCGCGCGGCAATCATCACGAAACCATCTCAGTCCGCTCTTCTCCGTCTCGCATTTGCTTAGTTCAGCTCTTAGAGCGGCGACTCCCTTCATTGGCCTGTTCTCTAGCTTGCTTTGCAGTACGGCGTTGTATTGTGTGGCGTTGTGAAGTTCGATTTCGTTTGCATGGAAGGCGTGGGTGCATGCTTGGAAGGACTGGTTGGTGGTATAGAGTTGGTAGGCTGCAATCACGGCGAGGACGGATGTGCTTATGAAGACAAACCTAGCGTACTTCGGATCTGGTGTAATGGGTAGGGGATAGATGATGATTGAGAGGATAGTGAAGGGAGCGCAACAGATTGCGAGAGCAATCAATCCGGTGATAGCATATGTTGACATGATGTAGCGGGATCTGCGTTGTGTGATGGGGATCTACTCGCGCGCACTGTGTGGATATACCTATAACTGGTGGGTTTGGGTTTGCTATATACTCTTGTCAAGCCAAAACGATGAAAGAACGAGACAATTTAAGATGTCACGATGACATTCCATACGTATTCCCACATGACTAGAACCTTCTCCCTGTTAGGATGTAGGACGAAGCGATGCATCGAAGTCTTATCGTTACATAGCATATTTCATCCAGCGCATACTGTCGAGCGACGCACTAATTCCCACAAGACACTTCCATCATAGACCAGTGTATCACATAGAGCTAGCAAGGCACAGCACGTGTCTAATACTGTCAGAATTCGTCTCAACCCCACTATGTACTCGACATTTGCATACGTAAACCGCCGCATGACTTTGCAAAGTCTCATTCTCCAGTCGTCTCGCCGATATCGTCCTCCATAAACATACTCCATCTCACGGTCCTCCATAGCATCCGACATGCCACTACCTCCCCCCCTCATCTTACAACCAACGCATCCATGGCAGTCTAATGTTCTCTTCACCTACCGCTCTCTTTACAGCAATAGTGATAACGTAGCACACAACAAACGCCGGGGCACATGCCAATATATAGCAGAGATCGATCATGAGATTCTGCATAGTCTGTTCGCATGTATGGCCGTTGGAGATGGCTTGTCTGATGGTTCTGGAAAGTGTGACTAGGGCGAAGAAGAGGTAGAATAGGAGGTGGATGATTGTATCTGACATTTCGGATGAGATTTTGGTGTGTGGTGTGTTTGAGTACGTGGATGGATGTGTTGGTGAGTACTTGGCTGAAGACGGGAGAGGAGGTGATGGATGATGCCGACAGGTGGACACTGACACGATGGTATAGATGCGGGATCTGCTTCAAGTTTGCTTCTCTGGCCTTCTGGCATGCGCAAACACCTTCGCTTTGAGCGATTTGTATTTTAGATACCTTTGGGGGCAATCTAGCGCGCGTTGTTGAACCAGAAAACGATTCTGGCTAGGGAGAGAACCTTAAGCTTTTGTTCTTTTCAAAGAATAACGCTCAAACTGGAAGATCGACGGATTGCTAGGCCGTAAAGTGGTGAAGCTGAACAAGACCTTACACCACTGCGAAAGAGACGCCAGCAAACCCCTTCCCTTGTCGTCGCATCCATAAAGACCGGCGAACACGAGCATTTCATCTCCATCTTAACCACCACCACAAACCGCCATCCATCCATCCATCTATCCCTTGCACCCAGTGAAACCACCAACGTTCCCATCACCCATCCAGCCAAACAACAACATGATGCCCACCACACACCTCATCTGGCAGCTCCTCCAAACCATCGTCCTCCTCTGGCTCCTCCTTGTCTTCGTCATGCTCATCTCTCTTTACGAAAAGGCTATTCAGGAACGTGATGTAGCTTGGGTCTTTGCCACTGTTGCATCTGCTCTCGCTATCTGCGTTTATGTAGGTGACTTATCGGAAGACACGGAGCTACGGCACCAGTTGGCGTGGTCGGATAGGGAAATCACGAGATGTCATCACAAGTATGAGAACGGGATTAGGTGTAGGATGTGCGAAGAAGAGCGGCGGAAGCTAATGGAAGTTCAATAGGAGCATAAGGAGAAGTACCACAGGGACTGAATGATTGTGTTGAACATGTAGAATGAGCTTTTGATATGCTCGGTAAGTAGAGAATCAAGGTGGGCGGTTATGTGGCTTTGTAGTGACGGTCGCGTTTAGGACTGACGACCAAGAACACGTTTGTGTGAACACGGCGTCAATCCGACGCTTGCTGCAACTCGTTTCCAGTTGCGATGCATTAGGTAGTTTCCACTTGGTAGCCACTTTTCGGAAGCAAACTACCATGCATCTTCGCCTTGTTAGACATTGTGGTTCTCAAGAAAACAACATCTCCTTGTCCCCATCAAAGATATCCGCTCAAAGTTGACACTCTACAAACGCCGGAACGGCTCACAACCGCTTCGCGGGTATCCTACGACACCGCCAACAATGACTTAGCAAACTTTGCATCACTGTCGCATGCATTAAAAGGCGTAGTTCGTGAGCGTCCGGCCTAATACCACTATCATCACGACCGCCCGTCTCTACAGCCCGGGCTATTCAATCTCGCATACCTAGGTACCTAGGTATCTAAATTCTTCCGCAAACCCAACCAAAACACGATACAAAATGACAACCACCCAACTCCTCCATCTGTTCCTCGATTATGCCGTACTTGTCTCTCTATTCGTCTACTTCTTCGCATTCATCTACCTCTATCGGCTGCGGGACGAGGGGCCGAATCGAGGTGCGCTCAATTTCAGCTGTGTCATGGCGCTCACTATCTACGCCTATTCTCACGGGATGCTGGAAGTCGGAAAACTGCGCGGTCAGTTAGCTGAGGGGAAGGCAACTAGTACAAAGTAACTTTAACATCTTTCACGCGTTCGGTCTGAATTCTTCCTATTATCTCTCTAACCCTCTCGAACAACCACCGCTTCTTCTCTACACCCCTTCGTACACATTTTGCAATCGTCTTCGAGCCCCGCTATCCAAACCTCCCCCAAACATTCGCCCACTACCTATACTACCTCCACTTTCCCAATATGCCCTCTATCTCGAGCCGATCCTGCATGTCCGCCACCATCACCACGTTCCTACCGACAACATACAGGAGAAACGCGATACCAACATTAGCCGCAACGACTTTGACAGCAAACCTGCGCTTTCTAGTAGTGTTGAGGTACTTGTAGAAGATCTTGCGGAAGATCAAGGCGAGGAGGATGGTTGCAATGAGTGAGGGGAGTTGTTGGGCGAGATGATAGTACGATGACATTCTGTGCTACAGTAGGATGAACGTGGATAGATACGTTTACGGGTTCTTCGTTCTTGTATCGATGTTCGATGCTGATATTCGATGCCGTGATAGTGGATGCGAAATACGAAGATGCCTAGTCGAGCGCTTGCTTTTGTAGTTGCCATCTTGTCAGCATCGCTTGCTCATCGTAGAGTAAAACATTGTCTGAGATTGTCTTGAAATGTCGCAAGATCGCACGTTCATGTTTGGTTCGGGAAGCGGTAGGAGGTAATATATGCTGAGCGACGATGTGCACGGTATCCTCGGCCTCATGGTAATCCCCATGTCTCCCTCACTCAACCCATCAACACCGTCACCATCCCAACACCAACACCAACACCAATCATCCCGTACCAACTCCTCCCGACCTTTGCAGCCGCACCCGCCGTCGTTGAAGCCGGCGCATCAGATGCATTGGACGCATCAGTCGACGCCGTCGGCTCCGCGCTGGTAGTCGATGCTGTCGATTCCACACCACCTGCACTCGACTCCGCACTCGCATCGACCCTCTGCGTAGCGCTCGAAAACAATGATACTAATCCGGTCGATGAGCCCAGCGCAGTACCACTCGCACCCCCAACCCCCGTCTCAGACACCGACTCAGAACTTCCCACGCCCGTGCCCTGCGTCAACATCGGCGTCGATGTCACAGTAACAGCCGTCATAGTACCAGAATTCGTGCTGACCACTAGCGTTAGTGTTGAGTTGACAGTGTCAGGAACCTCGCAAAGCGCCTGATTATTTTCGTTCGTCATGCAGATTTCGTCGCCAGTACAGCACAGTTGGGCGGCGTAACCGCATGCTGTGCCGCTGTCGCATTGTTGCGCTAACGCGACGCTGATGCAGGCGAGAAGAACTGGTATTGCTGGTAGTGGGAGAGTGAGGCGCATAATGAGTGCTGGGTGGTAGTGGTTTGGGCAGGAAGGTAGGAAGGTGGTGTCGCGTGTGGGTCTTTCGCGTCATGTTGTTTGTTGGGGTGACAACCTTGGAATTGCCGCCAGATCCTTCTGTCGGCCAGACTAACCTCATCCGCTGGATCTCGTATTGCATATCTCCTAGCCTAATCTTCAGGGCTTCGCGCTGGAGTTTCAAGTCTTTTCGCGAAGGACTTCAAGTCTGTATACCAGTGGGTTCATATCAGGAGATACTCTACGAAAGAGAGAAGTATCGCATCTCCACGAACCTCAACCATGCCCAGGTGATGGTTTGTCAAGGCTGTCCGCTAGGATGATTGGTCGTCTCTAAACTCAACTTGTTCTGACCTTGAAGTCAGCTACACTTGAACATCTTATCTTGCATTTCGACGAACACTAGCAATTGATATTAAGTCGTGATGAGAATCGAACGATATGTTTCATAATCGCTACTCTACCTCCAATCCCGCACCACCACCATCTCACGCCATCCCCTCCTCCTTCCTCCTCTTCTTCCCCTCCTCAATCCCCTCCCTCCACTCCCTCCCCTTCACAGCAGTCAACCACGTCGCCCCCGCCCCCGCTACCAAAAACCCCGCACTAATCGTACTAAACCACCCCACCCCAATCGCCCTGACCGCAGGAAGACAAACCGCGGACCCACCCGCCGCAAACATATACCGCATAAAATAATTCCCCGCCACAACCTCCGCACTCCTCCCCTGCATAACATCCAAACAATACGTATTCAAACTGGGGAAACAAAACAGTTGAGCCACACCCTGCAGAAACATCATTACAACCGGCAGCGCGATGCCTCCAACCCTTTTCTCGACAGACCATCCATAGACGAGCATGCAGGCGGGAATGACGACCCCGAGGAAGAAGACGCAGGAGCGGAGCCGGTCTTCGGAGACGCGGTGGCCGCGGAGACGGATGTATTTTTTGACAATGTGGTCGGCGTAGCGGCCGCCGAAGAAGGTGCCCAGGAGGTAGCCGCAGCCGGGGGCGATGTAGAAGAGGCCGGATTGGAGGGGGGATTGGAGGTTGAAGCGGGGGTTTAGGACGTAGCGGATGGGCGTTAACAGACTGTACATGTTCCACACGAGACTACTGCTCGCCAGTGCCGTTAAGAGGATATTGGGGTACCGGTATAGTTTGACGACGCGGAACGGGTTGAGCCACTGCCACATTTTGTGGGCGCGTTGTTTAGTGG